ACAGTGAAGTTTCAGTTAACACCACTCAGCCCAGCATTTAAAAACCAGAGAAGATATCTGCAATCTCTGACCAAAACATCAGCAACAACTGTAGTTACTGAACTGCAACCAGGCATCTTTGTAAGGCCAAAGGTGCCCTCTTTTGGGCAGCACTTCCAAGAAAGCACCATTTACAGGATACACAGTTTGACAGTTTTTCTGAAGTTTTTTCAGAGAACAGGAAAGACTTTCTCACCACTTGTGCACTTTGATAGGAAGAGTAAGGTACAATCCCTTCAGGGCTACAAGGCTGTTCCTGTTTTCAGATTACAACCAGAAAACCTGAGTGACTGGTTACCAGCAGGGATTAGCTCTTACATGCTTCGCTGGAGGACTCGGGTGTCTCTCGCAGACTAACAAACAGAACTTTTAACCATGAACAGAGACTTCTGTCTCTAGATATTCTGCCTGTCCTGCCAAAAACATTCTTTGGAAAGTTATTTATTTTTCTTGACTGCCAGAGAAGGTAGTTAAAATAAAATCAGCTATTTCAGCCCTTTGTTCCCTGCACACCTTCCTTCAGCTGCAATCCTGCAGGAAGGCTGGAGGGGAAGGAACTGACAACCAAAACCCAGCTCAGCTTCCTCCAAAGTTACACAGAAGGAGGCATGCTATAGCTTCTCACCCTGAAGAGGTCTCATTGAGATCTATACCCTTTCTCCACAGTGACCTGCCTTCTCCTGGAACAGGGGCTGCAGGAACCATGCCACCAGAAAGAGCATCCAGCATCACCCCTGAAAAGCTCTGGCAGCCACCACCCAGAAGAGCCTCTACCTCGGCACACCAGCAGTACATGCCATGGAAAACCAGAGGCCTTCTATTAAAATTCCATTTGCTGTTCAAACCCGGGATACCTCCACCATAAATTTCTGCTGTCCCAGCACCACCAGCCAAGAAAATCCAGCTTTTTCTGAACTCGGTTGCAATGCATTTCAAATTTTCTAAGCTGCAGCTGTGTTTAGCATCCAACCCAGGAATTAAGAAACAAGGTTAGCAGGAGGAACAGCTTCCAGATACCTCTTTTTTGTAACTACAGACACAAGAACCAAAAACTCAAAGACATGACCAAGATGCTGTGGGATCATGGCAGAGATCTGTTTATGCCACTGAACGTAAGGCCACCTGTATGGGCTTCACTGTATTTCAGGCAATAGTGTTAAGGAAACCACACTGTTGTCAACGTAAAGCTGTGCTGCCAGCCGAAGCTCAGGGTTTCATCCAGCAGCACGGAACACCAACATATGCTAAAACCATCCCACCATAAGGGCAACTTCCACCATTGAATTTCTACCACGTAAGACAAGCCTGAGGCCATTTCTGCAGGGGAACATCCAGAAGGAATTTCCCAAGATGAACTGCCCAGCAGGTACGCTCCAGTGGAGATACACCATATGCTGTTACACGTGAGGCTGAAGTTGTCAAGTTAAGCCACCACTTTGATTACACCGTTTCCAACACAATTGCTCAACTCAGCAGCTCTTTGGAACTGCTGGCTGGGGAGCAACCTCAAGAAACGAAAAGAAGTCTCTTGCTCCTGAAATAAAATACAAGCAAGAACCAACTACATTAGACAACTCATTTAAGAGAACACAAGTTACAAAAGCCGCTTTCAAAGAAGAGTAAATTCAGCTTATTTCAAAACAAGGGGTGCCTGCATCAGGTATGTTGCAGCCTTAGAAAAGTTCACTT